TCCCCAGCAGGAATGAGGGTGACACCCCTGGGAGTGCAGGCAGGACCCACCCCAATCCCCAATCCCAAATCCCGATCCCCAATCCCGAGTTCCCACCGGATGTCCCCGGCGGCGATGAACACGGGCTCCCGGCTCTCCTGGCTCGTGATGCTGTCCACGGAAAACTGGGAGATGTTGTCACAGCTGTTGGTGTGAACCTCTGGAAGCTGGAAAACAGTGGGAATGTCGTTCCAGGGAAGGGGGGGAGGCTCTGGGAAGGGCAGGGAAGGGCAGGGAAGGAGTTTGGGAGGCTCCAGATCCGTCGGGGTGGGAGAGGGGTGGGCACAGCAGGGGGAGGGAGAGACACCCCCAGGGCTCTTCCAGTGCTCCCAGTGACACCCCCAGGGCTCTCCCAGTGCTCCCAGTCTCTCCCAGTGACACCCCCAGGGCTCTCCCAGTGCTCCCAGTCTCTCCCAGTGACACCTCCAGGTCTCTCCCCATCGCTCCCAACCCTGGGAGTGACCCCCCTCCCAGACCTCTCCTATCATTCCCAGACCTCTCCTATCATTCCCACTCCTGGAATTGCCACCTCCAAGTGTCTCCCCATCACTTCCAACCCTGGAATTGCCACCTCCAGCCCTCTCCCCTCTCTCCCACTCCCACAACCAACCCTCCCACCCCCTGGACACTCCACTCCACCCACTCCCCTCACTCCAACGCCCCCTTTTCCCACCGAATTCCGACCCCCCTTGATCCCGCCCCTCACTCCCAGCGCTCCAGCACCTCCACCTGGAGCTCCCCGATGTCGTCCACGGACCAGGCCTCGTCGTCGTTGTCGTAGTTGGGGACGGTGCTGAAGCTGCCCGTCCTCTGCTCGTGGCCCATGCCCACCTCGGGGAGGTTCTCGGCCGAGCGCGTGCTCCGGATCCGGTTCTCCGGGATCCGGGCGGGGACATTCGCTGTGTCGAAATTGTCACATTCAAGCACTTCCACGTAGATTAAATAGGGAGCCTGAGGGAGGAACCACAGGAGAGGGGGGTCAGGGGGAGAGGTGGGGTGTTTGGGATCCTTGGGAGGGGGAAAATCCAGGGGTTTTGGTGGATACGGAACAGGGAGAAGGGCTGGAGCTCGCGGAGGGGGAATTGGGGGGATGGAGGATCTTGGGGGGGTTTGTCTCCATCCCAGATGCCTCACAGAGCTCCCAGTGCTCCCAGTCCTGGAAGCGACACCTCCGGGTCTATCCCAGTGCTCCCAGTCCTGGCAGTGACACCTCCGGGTCTATCCCATCGCTCCCAGTCCTGGGAGTGACCCCCCCAGACCTCTCCTATCATTCCCAATCCTGGAAATGACCCTCCCACCCCTCTCCCAAAACATCCCAACCCCAGGCACCCCTGACCATCCTCCCACCTTTCCATCCCTGTTCCCATTCCCATTCCCACCTTATCCTTGGAGTTGAGCACCACAGACTGGGAATGTGGCACCCTGGGCACCCTCTATCCCTGCTCCCATCCCCATTCCCACCTTGTCCTTGGAGTTGA